TTTTTGAAGGTCAAAAGGGTTTTTTTTTCACCTTGTGTGTTTGTGTGTGTGTGTGCCTCTGGGAGAAAACAATAAACCGTTTATTATGGCGATGTTGTAACCAGATGGTCTATAAGGGGGATAATCCTTTTTAAAGCACATCAAAGCCACCACCTGCTCTTCAGGTTTGTCTGTCTGTTGTCGTCTTGTAGTTGATCAGGATCAAGATCTTCTCCTCCAGCGCCATGCTACAGAGTTTCGCTTTGACCTTTCACGTATTCCAGAGGGAGAGGCCATCACAGCAGCAGAGTTCAGGATTTACAAGGATCTCATCCAGGAGCACAGTGAGAACAAAACATTCAGAGTGAGTCTCTACCAGGTGCTGCAGGATCCTCCAAATGGGTAAAGAGAGTTTCTTATTTGCTCCTTTCTCTGTTCTTAATTGATATTATCATATATGTCAACCCTTCTTTTTTGAATTCATTATTTCTCTGATCATTGAGCTCGACTCCATGGTTTGAGTCCTCTTGCTGAATTTCAACAGGCTAAACACTTGTTTTTCTTAGAAAATGGGTTGTTGGGCTACGTTTCCCCACAGCTTATTTGTGCTGATGTTCGTGTCAGTACTGCCACTGTTGACACAGAAATTAGTGTCAATTACGGAAATACAGTGGTTCTCTCAGAGTGGTTTACTCTCACGCTGTCTGAGAAAATCAGCTCCCAGGAGACCGGTGTTTATATCACACAGCTGAAGCTACAAAATGACACCAAACCATCAACACGTCAGTTTTTCTATTACGCAGTTATCTCTCCATCATGCCTCTGGGTTTTCTCTGCCAGTGTCTGATATGTTTTTAACTTTCTTTTTATTTTCCTTGTTGAAAGCCGCAGGTGAATTTACACACCAACTTCCCTCTAACCTCAGGGAAAAGTCTGTTTTGTTTTGTGTTGCATTGTTAACACAGATGTTTTGAAACTAACCAGCGAGCTAGACCTGAAATAATAATTTGATCAATAAATTAGCAGTTTCAACATTTTTATTTCGATAACTTAATCATTTGGATATTTTTTTCCAAGCAAAAATGACATAAAATCCCCCAGAATAAGCTTTTCACATGTGGATAAAAACTAAAACTCACTACAACATTAAGATTTCCTCTGATACATTGATGTAACTGCATACTTTTCCTGTGTATTGTATTAATTTTTATTAACTTGCGGTAACTGGCAATTCCTAGAGTTGGTCATCTTTTTTAAAAACTTTATTTACATGTACATCAGGCTTTCTCACTGTCTGAGGCCTCATTGGATCTTTTTAAGGTCGTTATTTCTTTGGCTTTGAGAACTCAAAACTTTACAATAACAACCATTAAATCACATTTATTATTTAGGCTGCTAATGAGAATACTGGTATTGTGTCAAAACATTAATTTGCAAAGCAATAAGAAATTATAGATACCAGTGTAATATAAAATAATGTGGTGTATGTCATAAGATGCCTGATTTACTGATTCTTTTACATTTACATTACATTTTTATACCTTCAATGCCAAGTTAATGTTCTGAATCTGAAAATATTTCCATTAATATTCTTCATATTTGTTGCTTTTGAGAAGGTGCTCAAATTTTGGTTTCACAATTTTAAATAAAATCTGACTTTTGGAACCATCAAAAATCCACAGATTTTAAGACCCTTGTGATGGAAACTTTTAGAAATCCTGCTGACACAATTTAAGATTTAATAAAGGGGGGAAAAACCCTCCAGGTTTGTATTTCAGTCCAAAGAGAAACTCATGGAAATGATCACAGGCACAAACAACACCTACATTTTGTTTCTTGACTGACCCCCAAAAAAGAAGCCAAAACTGTAAAAGTCAGTCTCTCAAACAATTTCTTTCTGAGATTTGTGGAGCTAAAACTTAATGTTGAGTCTTCATAATTAAAACTAATTAATAAAAACGAATTAAAACTAAAGATAAAGATTCATAACAAATACAGCTTTTCTAAAGAAAACGTGTAGAGACATGACAAACATCCAACTGCAGAGGACCAGTCATTAGAAAAATGATTACGACAGAATTTACAAAGAAACTCGTACTAGGTTTTTATATTTGGTCAGAAGCTTGTAAGATGGCTGATAACACACAGCACCACCCCGTCGGTGTATTTCACTGGTCCTATTGTATCAGCTGAATTAAAGCCGGTCAGCAATGATTTAAAATCATGGGTTTGGATAAAAAGGGGTCATGTGCCAGCCAGTAGGTGTAGATTAAAGTGTTTTATCTGTGAGAGTGGGGCTGCCGGCAGCACCATTGTCATTCAGACACACAAAAGCCACTCCACACAGACGAGCAGGCAGCAGGACAAAAGACAGACGTCTGAAACTCAGACTATAAACAAAGCAATTCTCTGTTGAGATCTGCCCCTAAGCGGACACACATCAGCGTTAAAGTGCTGCTTTGATAACATTCAAAGTGGGAGGACTGCATGATTTAGAGGGGTAGCTGTCAGGGAATTTAACTGAGGTGATGCTTTTACATTTTAAATTAGAACCGTTTCATTCGCTTCCACTTTGCATTTATTTCCTGGAAATGTCAGCATCATATAAAACGCTGTGCTGTTAAAGGAGTGATAAAACCACACACACACACACACACACACACACACACACACACACACACACACACACACTGCTGCAATGAATTTTTCCCTTCAGCTTGGACTTCAGCAAATGAAATGTGTCCACTTAGATTAAACTCGAGTCTCTAACCATTGACTGGTACAGTTTCTCTGATCCGTCTCCATCGTGGGTTTACCCTCAAACACATTGCTGAAGCTTAGCACTTTAACCTCACTGTAACTGGTGAACTTCAGCTCCACTGTACTGGTATAGTGAGCTTAAACAAAACAAAAACATAACAAGTGGTCCAGTACTTCTGCACTCTAAGTCGTACAGGATCTCACATATGCTTTTGACATTTGTGGTGTATTAAATACTGAAAGCCAAACATTTTCCCAAGCATACCACATTCCTTTAGATGTGTTTGTATTTTCAAAAACGTCCACGGGTTCCATAAATTTCACCGAGGAATGAAATCCATTTGCAGTGAAAAACAACCCATCACGGTGGGGTTTCACTGCATTTTAAGTTGTGTTCTGTGGAAAAGTCGATCGACTGAGTCCGCCTGGGAAAGATTTTACTTTGCACTTGGAGCTTTTCTGCACTGAAATCCCTCGAGTGTGTTTACATTTCATTCTGTCCTCAGTGACTTGGAGCTGTTCCTGCTGGACCGGCGAGAAGTTCTGGCTTCAGAAGAGGGATGGTTGGTCTTTGACCTGACCACCACGAGTAACCTGTGGCTGGTCAACCCTGAGCATAATCTTGGCTTGCACTTGGTTCTTGAGGACAGTCATGGTCAGTGATTATCCAAAATTGATTCTACAAAACTGAAAAATGGCGTGTGATCCATGGTAGTAATATTAAATAAATCAATAAATAATTGATTTCTGCAGGTCAGAAGAGAAACCCCCAGTTAGCTGGAGTGGTAGTGGGGAGTGGGCCTCAGGACAAGCAGCCATTCCTGGTTGTCTTCTTCAAAACCAATGAGGTGCGACTCCGCAGCGTTCGTTCAGCCAATGGCCAAAAGGGGCGCCAGTCAAGCCGCTCTAAACCCCAGAGGACTGTTCAAGATGCACTGAGGGCAGTGGAAGCTGCAACAGGTTACTGAACCCCTAAACCCTCTTTTCCCAGATGAAGACGACCTCCCTTGTACCCTTAATGATGAGTTTTGACAGCTCAATGTCAATAAAGACGTGATTTGACATTTTTCCAGGGGCAGCAGTAATAAGCTGTATAGGTAGAGCTCACCCTGACTAACATCTGATACACACTCAGTCATTTTGTTCTGAAAACAGGCCTGAAATATAACAGAAACCACTCAGTTCAAAAAAGGAATGCAAAGGTTACTCCTCGTAGGCGTCTAAAGAGTTAAAATGTCACTCATGAGCGGAGTCATTTCAGGAGCTTTAAGAACCTGTTAACTGATATTTGCTTTTGTTTTCAGCCAATATCGGCATCTCTAAAGAAGGATGTAAAAAGCACGAGCTGTATGTCAGCTTCAAGGATTTGGGATGGCAGGTAAAAACTAAAATTTATCAACACTTTTTTGAAAGCATTTCTTCAAAAGTGACAATTAACAAACACTTAAAAAACCTCTGACCAGGACTGGATCATAGCACCAGAGGGCTACGCAGCATATTACTGTGAGGGAGAATGTGCTTTTCCTCTGAACTCCTACATGAATGCCACCAATCACGCTATTGTGCAAACTCTGGTAAGCCTCAAACGATCCCTGATTAAAGGCATTTCCTCTGTAGCCTCTGCTCTCCCTGAGGATATATTTTGTATTTCTTCTGTGCCACAGGTGCACTTTATCAACCCAGAGACGGTGCCCAAAGCCTGCTGTGCCCCAACACAGCTCCACGGCATCTCTGTGCTCTATTTTGATGAAAGCTCCAATGTCATCCTCAAGAAGTACCGCAACATGGTGGTCAGAGCCTGTGGCTGTCACTGACTACTCATATTCCCATCTGTGATGCGTACAAATCCAGAGAGATGCTGAAGAAAGGCGGAATCAGAGCGACGATTAACTGACTGGTCACCGGAGAGCTCTTGCCACAGAGCTTTATTCTGGGGGTCTGTTTTTTTTATTTTTTTATATGACCAGCAGCTGAGCCAGCTTTAACCACTACCACAGCCCAAATAGAGCTACTGGTCACAAAAAGGGATTTTATGGATTTTGTTTTCTTTGTAACGGATTTAATTTTTTTTATATACCTTTGTGTGAAACTAGAGAGACTGCACCGAAAGGACTTCGAGCAGTGTGCAGAAGTTTCATAAGCTCAGAAGGAACCTGTAAAAAGTACTGGCAGTGGTGTGCGCTATCATACATGCAACAAACATCTCTATTTGAATTCTTTTTAAAATAAGAATAAAGAGTTTTGTCTTTTGTGGTAATTTAATTAAAACCGACTTTACAGCTCATAAAACTGTAAATCTTCCTCTTGAAGCCGCTCACCATCGTTTTTGGATGAACCTGTGTTTAGATGAGAGAAATGAAGGCAGTGAGGTAATGCCAGTGGGATAGATTCATAAACATTGCAGTTGTTCAGAGATTTGCCAAAATATTAAACCCACTCGCAGGTGAAGTAAAAAGCATTTAACTGTGTTTTCATAATGAAATGTTCTGCTGGGAATCGTGTGAACGTGCCACCCACCTGAACATTGTCGCAGGCCTCACTCAGCAGGACAAATCACTCAGGAAAACGCTTAAGCATCACAGCAGATTCCCTAGATCCCAGTCTGGTTGAGCATCAGTGGGCTGACCTGGAACAAGGCTGGTCAATGAAGGCTCTGACTGCTAACCTGTTCAATCCACACGACCTGCTACGAAATCCAACATCACTCCTTCATCTGCTCTATCCACACTTTGTCTGGTGTCAGAGCAGAGCTGCAGCCGGACTGTATATTTTATCGCATTAAGAAAGTCTAACCAAGATTTCCTTTTCTTTTTTTTTCCTCAAACATTTTCTCAGCAGAAGTATTATTCGCATGTTTGGCTTGTAAACGCCTCCTCTGTAAGTACTGAATGGGCTGCACAGTTAACACATGGAATATTTATTTCTTCAGCTTTGCTTCACCTTCACCTACAGCACCTTGTGTCCAATAACTCTGCCATTATTATTATTAACTCTACATTTAAAGATCATCCTATTCACTTAAAATGAACTGTTAGGCGAGCCGTGTACACGCACACTTTCCAGTCTTTTTCATGCCCACTCTTAACAGTGGGACACATTCAAAACGGAGCATCAGTACAAAAAAGAAAGCACAGCATATGCACAATACAATATATCCAGGCATTTAAAAAAAAGGCATTTATACCGACATCACCGAGAAGCTTTGTGCCTCTAACGTAGCATATTACACTCACACATCACAGCCCACGCTTTTAAAAGCACAGGTTAGACCTGTTATCGAAGAAATAGAGGTAGAAGCGTAAAATGAAATCCTTCTCATGTAGCGAAGAAAATCCCGTTCGTTGTAAATCTGAAATTGTCAAATTGGTTAAAGTATCCAGTTTCCAATTCGGAGCGAAGTTTCCTTTTGTGATCACAAAGAACTCTTACATAATACCAGGCAGGAAAGAGAGAAACTATCATGAGCAGCGAAGACCTGAGGGAGTATTTTTTTGTGCTTTTCAAGGAACGTGGGCTGATTTAGTCAGAACTGCTAGAAATAATAATATGAACACTTACATCAGAGCCAAAAACTCAAACACGCTGTCCTTTGAACTAACAGGGTTTCCCTCAAACGCATTGTTACTGAAGCGGTTTTATGTGGCAACACAAATTTTACACTTTGGTTCTACATTTCAAAAAGAAAACGTGTCACATAGCCTGAGTTCTTGCGTATAAGATCTGAATTATGTGCTGCTGCAGACTTTGTGTAGGCTTACAGCAGATGCAATGTCGAGCTCTGACACGATTCATGTTGTCAGCGTGTGATCCTTGACTAACCTTGACAAATACAGCATGTGTTATCACACCTCCGGGGGATCCTGAGAGTTAATCTTTCCTCTTTAAGCGGTTCCTCCTTAGATACAATCATCATACCGACAGTCAAGCACAGAAATATGATTCAGGAGGTAGAATGACAGTAAATACAGGCTGATTAGAAAAGAGCTGAAAAGCAACCAGCTAGCTCCCTGCAAATGAAACAGCCACTGTTCACTACATGCAATTAGTTCCTGGACCTCTCAGCTCAGGGGCTGAGAAATGCCTCCTGCGGACCGCCTCTGCGCCCCTCTTCGGCTCCAGTGCTTGTTCCCCTGGCCTTGTGGGAAGCAGTGTGCTCGGGCCAGATTGTGGATGTGTTGCTTTTAGGGGCTCACACCCTTCCTCTTCTAACTTCTCGGGTGAGGTTTTTGGCTCCGATGTGGCTGGCTGTGGAGCCTGGGGAGCTAATACAGGTGTGAGAGCCAGGCAGACATCCCCTACGCTGAGCTGGTGGCACTGCAGGCCGCAGATGCGGGCAGTCCTCTGAGGGCTGCAGGAAGACCAGCCGCGCCCACGCACGAAGAACGGGTACTCCACATACACATCCACCAGCTCCTGCAGGAGGCAGACAGATGCATACAGAGGAAGCTGTGAGACAAGCACGGCTTAGACGTTTGCTCACTAGAGGGTGGTGTTGTTCCATTATGGTGGATCTATTCATAGTTCATGTAACAGCAAGGAGATAGAATTAACAGTACACATGGATTTCAGGTTTTTATGCATACAAAAATTCACTTGTTACACCATCAGGTTTAAAAGCAAGAATATACTGATTGAATTTTCTGCAGGTAAGTACACACCTTTTAATTGACCCAATTATAGATTTTTCTTCATCTTGTGCTAAACATTGCAGAACCTAAAGAAAAAATGGCTTTCAGGCATGAGGCAGATCTTACTGGATATCTTCTTTTCTTAACTGCCAACAAACTCAGATCATTTCCCTGTTTGCAGCACTCTCCTTTGGCCTTAAAATTACTACTGAAGGCGGCCACAAAAATAGCAACAGACATACAGCTCCATCTTATAAAAAAGCTGCTTTATTTCCCAAAACAGCTGGCTGCTGCAGTGTTTTGCAGAAGACACAGATACAGGAAGTGCAAATGCTCCTGACTATTTTCAGCTTCAGATTAATACAAGCTTTCTATGCTAGTATTTTTCACAGCCTGTAGTATTTTATTGCAAATCCCACAGCGCACTCAAGGTGTTGCTAACAGTTTTCTTGGCGATAATGGAGCGCCATGGCATGGAGGATAAGCTTGGGATGCACATGCATTACACCTTTAATTCAAGCTATTCATGCATTTGAATTTGCCATTTAAAAATTTCACTAAGTTCAGTTATTATCTTTTATGTACGTGAGTGTGTTTAGGAAGACAGTGATGCATGTAACCAGGTAACACAGGAATGTACTCTAATGTATGTCTGGTGTAAGGATAGCAGCTGTTCTGGATTGTAAATACCATTAGGTCTGAGAATAGCGGCTAAAAAGCATCATAAATACCATAAAAAATAAAATAATGGTTTAGAGCTTTTGAGCAGAAGTCAATAAATTAATGTTTTTTACACCATCTAACCACGAGATCCAGATGCTCTTTTTGGTGGGAATACTACGTTAAAAGAATAGTAACAATAATGTGTGCTATGAATATTAACACCACAGTGGGAATTTCTTTCACCTGGCTCTGCTGGTCATGAAGCATGATGAGGAGGCGGGAGATTGAGGACGAGGAAGTTGAAGGGGAGATACTCTGCACCGTGCAGCAGCTCAGGCGCAGGTCTGGACAGGCCAGTGAGCCAAGCAGGAAGTCTTCAGTTTGCAGGTGCTCTACCCTCCTCAGCCGCCCATCCCTGAGCTCAATCAGAGAACCGGCCACAAAGTGAGGGAGGAGCCAGGGGAAACTGTTAGGAGAGGCGGTGGAGGAGGAAACATGCTCAGAGGAGGGCCTCGTGGAAGCGTCCTCCTTCGTGAAGCCGCCAGCGCTTTTGGAGTTGTTTGGGGAAACTTGCATGACGGAATGTCCTGAAATAGAGGCAGCCTTTGTTGATCTGTGCGACAAATCAGGTCGAAGTTTGGGGTTCTCACGGGGAGAGTGAGGTAGGCTTGTGCTCAAAGGTGAAGTACTTGCCCTTTCGACCCTGGGAAAATACTCTGTTTTTCTCTCTCCTCTCCTCATGTATGGACCTTTATGCCTGCTGTAGGTCTGCCTCTCTGCGCTCAAACTCTTCTCTCTTGAAGTCTTGTGCTTCTCCCAGCTGTACGCTCCACTCGCTCTGTGGAAACCCTCCAGGGAGACAGCGTTGAATCTGGAAGGATAGTACGGATGGCCTGGGTGGAGTGCAGGTGTGCCAGATATGTGGCTTTGGTGCTGATAGTGGTTAGGAAAGTCCCATCCAGGGTGCAAGGGGTTGAACTCTCTCCACTCTGCCCAGCCATGATGCTCCCTGAATGCAGAAAGAATCTGCGGTTTGGACCTGTTAGGTGTGGGTGTGTGCATCCAGGGCTGGTACAGGGCAGTAACCCGTCTCGGCACGGGCTGGAATGGGCCAGTGTGCTTTGTGGTGAGTTCGGTGTGGCTCTTGTAAGGGTATGGCGCCTTAAAGTTTGCAGCATCGCACTGCTGTTGCTGCTGCTGCTGAAGTGGCGAGCTTGGTCTTTGGTCCCTCTTCTTGAGCGGGAGGCTGTCCCTACCCGGGACCAGAGCCGAGTTTGTTGTGAAGCTCATGGGCTCGAGCTGATCGTCACTCACACCGACACTCCCGAAGAACTACAGGTGGCGTTGTGATCATGTGACACGGGCTCCATTAGTCTCTTGGCAACTGTCGCCGATCCAAGGTCGCCACAATCTGAACAGCAGGAGAAACAGTTACTAATGCACTTCATATCCCCACAGACAAGTTGTCAAGCTGGAGAAAATAACTGAATTTGCCTTCGTAGAGTCTCTCTTACTCTGGTGTTTCCCCTGTCTCTGAAAAATTCACAGAACTTTCCCTCTCTCCCCTCCCGCAAAAGTACAACATGGTGAGATCAGTGCCTGTGAATATCCTTCCACATCTGAACAAAAACTCCTCCATCAGCTTCAAATTACAGCTTTCCAACCACCAATTGCCATATTGACAGGGCTAAGTTTGATGGACACCTACCAGCTCCTTTGTAAAAAAAAAAAAAAAAAAAAAAGAAAGGAAAAGTTACTATGGTTACAAAGTGCTGTACACTGTGCTTGGTGGAGGCATGAGTGTAGCGGAGACGAGGCAGAGCAAAATGTTAGTGGTGGGTGTAAACTCAGGGGTTAGATTTTCTCAGTAACACAGTAAACTTTGAGGTTAATAAGGTCGGTCAACAATGATGAGGAAAATATGTGTGTTAAGTGACTAAATGTGAGAGGGATGTTAAACACACAGACCAAGCTTGCATGTTTCTCATAATGAAGAGAACCCCCTCCAGCACCTACAGAAACCCTATCATCCTTCTTACGTGCATGCACAGTTGTGAGTCAGCTCACTGAGGTGGGCTAAATATAAGCAGTCTGTGGCCAGACACACACCAGTTTCAAGACGCTGCAGACATGCTCTTTCATATATATATATATATGCATAAAGTGATGCAGGGAGGTAAAGGACAGCAGAGGACTTTTACAGCCTGCCAATGCAAAGCTCATCTCATTATGTCATCATCAAAGCTGAGCGCCGCCGCTGAAAGAACTTCTTTCACTCATCTTGACAGTCACGTCTCTGACATAAAGCTGCTTCTCTGTTATGTGTGCGCGTATCTGTGTGCGCGTGTGGTATCAGACGACACCCACACAGCGACATTCCTGTGCGAGGACCCGGCGTTATATCAGGACGCATAAATAGGTAACTATTTGTCAGCTAAACGCTTGCAGTGTGAATGTAAATTAATTCAAATGGAATCGAGGTGTGGGCCACTCACTCACAGTGACCTACACAGGTACAATCAGATCGTGCGTCCGACAGGCCTGCTCATGACAGTTTCTCCATGCTCAGTGACCATATGAGGCGATCGTGATCACTACAGGTTGCTAATCTATGGAAATGAAATGTATACACAGCAGCATTTAGTGTGTTTGATGCCTTTATGGTCGAGATAATCTGCGCCGAGGTCAGTACTGTTTGCATATCAGTAGTGGCAATATTGCGCTTAGTTTGCTCGATGCTTTCTTTCTGTGAAACTGAATATAATCAGGTTTAACCTCTGTAACCAGTTCAAGCAAAGAGTTTCTCAGACATGCATTCAGAGCACAAAATCATCTCCTTCAAAAAAAAGATTATCTAAGGATGATACACTTACTTGCATGTTTTTCCATTCATCCATTTGTGTCTGCCTGTGCATCCATCTTCACAGAGAATATCCATCCATGTTCAGGTCCAACAGGAGCGCCGACTTTCCACAAACACACACGCACACACACACACACACACTCACGCACACACACACACACACCTGTCTGTCTTGTGTCGTCCTCGCAGGCTGGGGGAGGAAAAAAGCCAAACGGAGCAGAGTGAACAGAGGCATCCAGACAAGCTCAACAGACTGTCTATTAGACACACACTCCTCTCTTCTTTCTCCTCTCTTCTTTTCTCTTCTCCCCCCTCTCTCTCTCTCTCTTCCCTCCTACTCGCTTTTACATTTTACACTCCCACTCTGCTCAGCCAGTCAGTCAGCCCTTAACCTTTCTCAGACTGATTTCATGCCTCTCCCTCCCTCTCTCTCAGTCTCTCACACCTGAACTTGCTCACCCTGTGTTTGCTGCCGAGTGGCACTTTTAGCTTCTCTTCCATTTGTAATCATCCTTCCTCTCCATGTTCCACGCGCTCCCTCTCCCTCACTCTGTGGCTCGCTCTCCGTCTTCCTCTCTCTCTGTTGTTGGGTGTATAATTAGAAATGAGACTGCTGTGCAACTCCTCAGCTGATGGTAGGCGTATGACTGCCTGATGGCTTTGGCGCTTTGCCTGGTGGAGTGAGGGCGGGAAACCATAGCTTTAGCCTGGGCATGCTCACACACACACACACACACACACACACACACACACACACACACACACACACACACACACACACACACACATGCACATACAAGCAAATACGACAAAAAAGAGCCCACAAAACAGAAATCTGAGAACACAAAGTCTTGCCTTGCTGTTAATTCTTCCTGTTTCTCACTTCCTGTTCTTTTTTTATCTTGACTAAAGTATTCAGAGATTCAGCCTTAAGCACACATGCTAACCCTCTGGAAAACAGTATCATAACAGTTGGTTGTCGTGTGGGAAACATTCTGCTTTCTCATCTGACTTTAAAACACAAGAAAGAGGACACGGCTTTTGATGTACGGCTGCCTCAGCAACACAGCAGCCTGGGTCCCAGCTACTGATTGTATTTTATTTTTTTGCAGGGCCTCAGCAGGTGAACCCCCAGTCATGGGAAAGCCTACGCGTAATTCAGTTTGTGGTGAAGAGGATTTCTTACTTTGAGTCACATCATGCTTCCTCTGCCCACTCTCGCTTTCTGTATCTGCCTCTCTTTTGATTTTTCTTCTTCTTTTTTTTTGTAATCCACTGGTGTACGCACATACGCACACACAAAGAGAAAGTTCACAGCATGTTAAGCGATTGCATTGCATACCTTTGCCACAACCAGCATATTCAGGCTAAACCACCACAACCACTGACATTTAGAAAAGAAATGTTTTTATTGATAGAAATCGCCAATGACTCCCACTACTTCCCAACTGCTACATCTACAGCTTGTATTTACAGTTTCAGTTTAGCGCTTGGCACAGACACCAAGTGTGACTTTCAGTAGTGAAAGTTTCCATGCTTGTGCACAGGGAGTTAGAGGTTTGCAGTTTTCACAAATGTCATGCCTTTGCACGATTCACGCATGACTGAAATATCTTTTTTTGTTTTTGTTTAAATATATCTGTTTGTTATCTACCTATGCAGACCAGACATATGTTTATATATTTTTTCTTTTGATAATGTTCTCGTTTGTTTGTTTACTTTCTGTGGATGATCAGCAAGTCGGCTTCTATTGTGCTGATTCTTGTTGTACAGATTCTTGCAATGACTCACATCGGTATCTTTTCCTGCTTGCATCTGAAACCAGACACTGTTTAAAAGCCACTTTCAAGTGCGATGCTGTGTTTTGGAAAAAAAAGAGAGGGGGGGGGGGGGGGGGGGGAGGCAGTGATGTAATGCTGCTCGAAGCCTCTGCATGCAAATATTGTATAATCAGCAAGTCCTGCTTAGAGAACATGGAACTGACGCCTCTTGGCCACTAGAGGGTGCTCAGGACACACAAACGATCAGACATAGTGCTGGGTGATGGTTTTCTCTCACACTGCTACCTGTCCTGTTTTTGCCACTTGAAAACTATAATTATTATTATCATCACCATTCTTCTTTTTATTATTATCATCCTCATAATATCATCATTATTAAGTTTAAAAAGTATTACTGATAGAGAACAAAATATTCTTTCTAAAGCGTTGAATTTGTCCATAAAAACAGTTATTAAGGAACTTTTTGTAACTCTCCCTCTGACTCTTAAGGTGAAGCAGTCAGGTTTAAATAAATAAATAAAATAAAATAAAAGCGCGACAGGGAACAAGAGGCAGACAGGGAGGAGGCGAGGGGGAGGGAGGGGGTGTAAGAGGACCAAAAATAACAAAAGGCATGAGCCTGTCTCTCCTCGGTATTTTCCACTCCGTTACATAAAAATCCCTCCTTCCCGCTTCTCAATAAGCCTCCTCGCTCTCTCCGTCTCTGCCAGCTCCTCCTTCCGCCCTGTCATTGGTCAGCTGGTCGTCCTAACAAAGCCGCTGTCTTGATCTCGTCCAAGTGGTTCTCAGAGTCCACTGGGGGAGGAAGGAGGAAGTGAGCGGCAGGGTGGCAGCAGTCCCGCATCAGTCACTTCGGAGCAGTCTGAGTGAGAACTGAAGAGGTGGGAGATGCTCCCCTGGCTCTGTGCTGAACTGTCACAAGGCTGACCAGCCACCGCATACCCGTCATCCTCAGCGCCTCAACCTGTTTCTGACAACTTTCCAGTTAACATGAGCTCCTCGTCAGCCAACCTGCACAACAAACGCCTACCCTGTAAGTGCTTTTATTATTTATTCTCTTATTCTTTGCAGAACATCAGCTTTCAGGTCAGGTGGTAATATTTTGACCAGAGGTTTGCTCCAGTAACACGTTTTTTTTATTTTTAGATACAAAAATGCAGGGCATGAGAGAAAAAAGGGTTCCTCTCCATATTTGGTAGGCTTGCTTGTCTCTTGTGCTTTTCCCAGATTTGTTGGTTATGTGATGTGCCGCCAGGTCTTTAAAAGTCCATCTTTTAATCTAGATTTGTAAATAAGAAATTAAAGTATCATCATAAATTGATTTAGAGCTCTCTTACCATTGTGTGTGTGTGTGTGTGTGTGTGTGTGTGTGTGTGTGTGTGTGTGTGTGTGTGTGTGTGTGTGTGTCAGATATAATAGGAAAGCTTATGGGATAGGTCTGGCTATGGGTTAAGTATCTGCTGTTGTGATGCTGTCCGAAGTGACTTGTCCAAGTGCTGTGCCAGCCAAAAATCAGTCAGGAATGTTGAATCATCACCCTGAGTAATGGTCCACTAATACCAAAAGAATAGGTCGCACTCTCTATGCACAAGAACAGGGATGCATTCCCACACACACACACACACACACACACACACACACTGAGGCAGCCTTGGATTGGGGCCACCACACAGCCCCGGACAAAGATCTCTTATTTCTAATGGGATTGCGCCTGCAGATCTCATCAGAGTTGACTCACTGCCACAGAGTCTGCAGCTTGTTTCACGGACACACCAACCCAGATAGGATCCGAAATTGAATTAGTCCCAAAGAGATCAGTGATTTCACGAGGCTAAAAAGGATCAGGGCCGTAACTCCAGAGAAGACGTCTCCCATCTGTTGCTCTGACCCGGCCCCGCTTTATCACATTCTGATTTTTCTTTTTCTTTTTTTTTTGTGGGTTGTGCTGTGAAGTGAGGGATTGACCAGCTGTTGAGAGCATGCTGCAGACAGAAATGTGGAGGCTGAAAAAGGAAATTGTTTCTATACTCCATGTTTCATAGCTCGGTCCCCTTGGGCACGACCCAGATAAGATGGAGGAGGTTGATGCTCTTTAATAAGCAAATTAGAGGAGTAAAAACGAAATCCTTATCATGTACTGTGTGTTTCATTAATTGTTTACTCTCTGAGGGATTCAAACAGTACGCACACCTGTCTCTGCTTTGCTGCCCTGCTATCTAATGGAGCTTAGCATCTAAGCTAGAAGGGAAAGTGGCACTACACTGAACAACCTCTATTATGCAGAAAATTGTTGACAGCTACAATTAAATGTTTACGTATGAGAGCACTGTTGAATATCACGTATATGGCTGGGGATGCTAACCTGCCTAGAGTGATGGAATTGAGATTGGGACATGTTTACACATCTCTGTGATAGCGTTTCATAATGACCAGCTGGTGAGTCTATAGGGAAATGCTCTCTGTCTATTCCAGTGTAGTAGCAGAACTCACTGACACACTTTATAGCCGTGGCCCTAGAATCACCTTATTTCACACTTCAGAATCTATGTCCACATAAATGGGTTTAATAATAACTTTCTGCTGGCTGCTCTCGTAGGTCACTGGGACCAAACTGACTTGAGTTTGGTTTAATTATTGCTTAAGTCTGGATCGCACTGATAAATCGAGGCTAATGCACCAATAAGAGCATTTCCTTTTTTCAAGATTCAGACGCTACAAAGCGAGGCACTTGTAATACCGTGTTATTATTCTCAAATAAGACTCATTGCTCACTAATAGGGCTGCCACAAACGATTATTTTGATAGTCGACTAGTCACCGATTATTTTTGCGATTAGTCGACTAATCAGATCATCATCCATTGGACGCAAAACTACAGCTTATTGCACCAGCAGCATCTGCTCTTATATAACTATCATTAGCTTACAGCTTTAAGTGTTTAAGGTCTGTGCTAACTAAAAATAAAGACAAGATGATAGTTTATTAAATTTTAATGAAATTTGCGGATTGTTTCGGTGAAGTTTAATAAACTCCTTGCTATCTAAAATATAACAGGACACTGGAGTATATTCTGGAGCATCTCACACTTCTGATAATCAGTTGTCTGCTTGACGTTTATTCAGCTGTGTAAAAACTATAACTTTAATCTCAGACAAACTGATTTACTCAGGAACAAATAAAATACTAAAAAAAAAAGCCAAACAATAACATTTTAAGTTATCTAAGTGACTCATATATATTTAACCTGAGTAGCGAAAGACAGCGGTGGGTTTGAAAACGATTTGCGGGGAGTCCGGTGTTCTCACGGCGCTAGTGACCTAGCCCCCGGCTCGCTAACGAGCTAGTGGGTAACAGATGTCTCCGAAAACGTCGGAGAGCTTTTGAAAATATGTGGTGTCTTGATAAACTGAGCAGATATTTGAGGTTTACACAGCTACATTCTCGCCTGAAAATATGTTAAACGTTTATTTTGTGACCCAGAAAGAATAATAAGAGTAACATTAAAACTAACCAGCTGCCGCCATTGTTGGAAACTGCGCTGGGCCGCGCTATGAATTCTGGGACACAGCTGCTTCTTCTTCTTCTTCGGGGTTTAACGGTAGCTGACATCCTTGTACATGCAATGCTGCCATCTTCTGTTTCAGTCCGTTATTACACTCTTAAATCCTGCTATTATTCCTGCGTCTTTTGTGATCTTACAAAGCTTCAAACGACGCGTCGACTATTAAATCAGTCGTCGACGATTTTGATAGTCGACGTAATCGTGACTAGTCGACAAATCGTGGCAGCCCTACTCACTAATGTGAGAAGAGCTCTCATGTTG